AGAGAAGATTGTATTTAGGCAGAATAAAGCAACTGAATATTTGAGTTTGGAACAGATAAGACTAGAAGTTTGGAAACAATTTCCAGGACATGCGATTCAAAACAACTCCACAGGATCCTTTAAGAAAGGAGCAGATCAAATTCACAGAATTCGCAACCAAATGAATAAGCTGCCATTCCTGTTTGCAAGCTGACCGATGTTACCTGCTTAGGACTAAAACTGTTGGTGCATTTCACAATAAAATACAAGAAGACAGCACAGTCTTTAGCATGGGTTTTTAGTTGTGAAATATCCAGTTCTTTAGAATGACGTTTTAAGGATTTGGGATGCTGTTTAATCATGTTTTTGTTAAACACGGAGCAGTACAACGTGCTACTTTACAGTACTTGATTGTGATACATCTGCACTGCATTAAGAGCTCTGCAACATGCACAGAACATCATTTGGGATTTAACAGATTGAAATGTACCTCCTGCTTTAGAGTGCGCCAGTCCCTACACCCACAGGACCTTTGCGCTAGCATTCTATCTGGTTGAAAATTCCATCACTGCTTAGAAGAACATCTAGCAAAATATAAACACACATTCACCGGTGTGCAAGCGTGGTGACGTGTCCGAAACTTTCCAGGTGAGATGAGAAGGTGGAAGAAGCCAGAGCTACAGCCACATATTTAAATGCTGTTTCAAGGCTAGCTGGATTTGATGGAAACCTATGTAAATGTACCAAGCTTGGAATTTGATGGGAAGTGTACATTTTTCATCAAATCCAGCTGGGGGCGGTGCGTTGGCTCTGTGGCGAAGGAAGGTTGCAGGTTCGTATCCCGCGGCCGGCAGAGGAATCCTACTCCGTTGGGCCCCTGAGCAAGGCCCTTAACCCCAACTGCTCCAGGGGCGTCGTATAAATAGCTGACCCTGCGCTCTGACCCCCAGGTTCTCTCCCTGTCTGTGTGTCTCATGGAGAGCAAGTTGGAGTATGCAAAAAGATAAATTCATAATACAAGAAACTGTATTTGGCCAATAAAGTGATCTTATTTCAGAATGTGCTTTTACACTTCCAGTCAAATTCCAAACTTGGTGCATTTACTTAAGTTTCCAACAAGTCTCCACGTGGCAACTGCAGAGCAGATAATGGACACAAAGAAGAAGGAAACACCAAGCAGGAGAAGGCTTTGCATTTTAGACTATGATATATCGCAACAGTGGTTGCGATAAATAAAAGGTATATTTGTCGATTATCGTCTTTGCACTCCAATGTTATTTGCATTCTTTCTCAACGAAGATGAAGTTGAAGGGTAAATGCAAAGAAGGAGTAAAAAAATATTTTTCTGTTTTTGTCAGACACTATTTTCTGTCTTCGTGCCACACTGTACGTTATTATCCAAACCGTTTGTCTTTCTAAACGGGACTGGATGTGGATCGTTCTTCCTAATAGACAGCACCTTTATGATAGGACAATTTTTCACTACTTTAATTTGCAAGTAAAAACATGAGCAGACACTGTACGATGCACATAAACAATACCTAAATAGCTTGCTAGAGAAATACTAATTTGTGTACTGCTTGTAGCCTTTTGTGTACTTTGCTTTTATTCTTTTGACAGTTTTTAAAAATTAATTAAGCACCGTCATGGCAAAATATTTTCTGTGCATTTTGTGGTACATAAATGAAGGCAAAAGAAAATAAATTTTCATAGTAAAATACGTTATTGATTAACTAAAATCATCCCACACACTAAAATAATGATTTTTCACTTAATGCTGTTAACGACATAAATAATTTGAGAAACAGTTTACCACATGACACTCATGACACCTGTTACGTAAACATGTTTTTGTTAGAACGGATCATTTTCACAGCCTGCTGAGGCACTCATAACTAACAGGAAATTACTGCTAAATCGAATACAAAAAGGCTTCTTCTAAGGAGCTGAAGGCCCAATACAACCTGGCAACGAACCGTATATTGTAAAGACACAGAAAGAATACATAGTTCTGATTTGAAGGAATGTTCCAGGATTTGTTCATCCATGATCCACCTGGGAGATGAAACATGGAGACAGATCACAGTACTCGTCACTGGGATGAGGAAAAGGTGAAAGCATCTCAATATTTTTTGAGCCACAATAGTGTCTGCTGCTGATTTAACAAGGAGAAAACAAAATGCCGGCCTGTTTTTAGTTATTATGATCTCTTTTAGCAACAATGTTCCACAAAACCAATCTGAGGGCAATTTTAAGCCATTTGTGTTCGGGAAACATTGATAAGTACACAGCATTTTTCCAAATTAGTTCTGAATTTCTCTCTCGCTCTCCAGAGGCTTGTGCCTTAATTCCACATAATGATCCAGCCCCCACTGCTGTGTATGTGAAACCTCTGGATGCTCCGATGTTAAAGACAAAGCACAAAGCTCAGCAGTCTGTGTGAGCCTGTACACAAAGCTGGGAGCATTACATAAAAAAGCCTTTGTTAAATCAGGTGTCCCCAGTGCTGATCCTGGAGGACCGGAGTGTCTACGCGTTTTCAGGCAAGATGGGCACATAGTGACCCGAATCACCTCATCACTGGATGAATTAGACAAGATTACCAGCTTCTCCCAGCTCTTCAGCTCTTCAAGTGCTGCTGATTTGAAGAGACCAGGACAACCTGTAGACACAGCACCTAACAATCCCCCCACAAGAAACGACAGCAAAAATTATTTTATCATTCTAAATCATTAATGATTGGCTTCTGGTGTTCTCCCCCAGCTTTGTTCACAGTCAAGTAAGAGCGCAGGGAAGGATCAACTGGTTCTTCTCCAGTGCCAGAAAATGGTGTAGAGTTGCAGACCCACAGATCTTTTATAAGACGCCAGCAAAGTGAACAGTCACCAATCTGATTTTCATTCTTGAGCGTTGTCAGAAACATTGTGTGTTCTACTAACCAGATAAAAGCACAAGCAGAGACTACCTGTATAGGACTGGAGACTTCCCTCTATACAAGCAAGGTGTGGTTAAATGAGAACTGCAAACAATCGGAACATAACACAAATTGTCTGAGTAAATCGGGTTTTTGCCAAACTCAAATTAAGTTAAAAAAACACCTGAAGAGATTTTGACATGATCAAGAGACACTGATTCAGGACAAACCTCGCTGATCCTCTGTACTTTGTCCTGTGGCAAATTGTGGACCCCAGAGGACAGTCCTAGTTTCCCATACTCGCTCACAACCATCACTGATCAGATCAATCAGATACACAACTGCTCCTGATTGCCCTGAGACAGAGCAGGAGGAGGCCCAGCATTCACAACCCTCAAAGGCACTGATAAAGCCAATTCACTGGACTTCTTTAGAACCTACGGTTAAAACTGAACCAGGGGACAAAGTGGACACTGGGGGAAAGTGCATTTACAACTGGAAGCAGGAGGATTGCTTCTTACACAAGGGGTAGAGGAATCTGAGAAAGTCCCTCGGTCTTGTTGAGAAAAACGACAGCTGGCTTCTTTCAAGAAGCACTTGGACAAGATCCACTGGACCCTTAACTGCTAGCAACCAAAAGATTAAGATGGGCTGAATTCTTTTCACTAATAACCATTCTTGTAACAACAATATTTTTTGTATCAAATTAATTAATTAATTTTTTGTTAAGAAATTAACTAAAATCAGGTGATCATCAGTTAAATCTCAAATTATGTGTACACAGTAAATTAAAAGCATTTACTGCAGCAGCCTATGTACCTTTCCCAACAGCAAAAGTTATAAAACAAATTATTGCTACTATCGGGATTTCAAGAGAACTTAATAAGATCCGCCTTCGTTGTAATAGCTGACACTAGAAAATAACATCTGTCAATTTTCCAGATGACATTACATGACCATCAACTACAATGAGGAAGCAGCCCGTTGGGAGTAATAAAAATGAAAGAGGTAGACAAATGCTTGAACACCTTGTGTCTCTAGTGTGTGGGGGGTGGGGTGAGGACACCCTTACACCCACTCTGAGGACTCAATTGTCTGATTATGTCTCACTCGTATTGGTTTTGTTTTCGAATCGGTGTTTCTCTGTCTCTTCTAGTTATCTTACGATCTATGATGTCACTCCCTGAAGACAGCAGCACACCGAAGGGCAAAACAGAAAGCTAATGAGACAAGCGACACAGAAATGAAACCAAAAGTACATCACTTTTCAAGATGTGCATCAGTGTGTCAGACAAAAGAAAATGTACCAAACTCTTTGCGGTTAGGAAATTTCATCTGCTATCCCTCCAGTTTATCTCATTTCAATCTTCTTTGAAATAAAAACATAATATGAACCACGTCTCATTTACCTTACTCAGTGTTCACGTACTGTTCCTTTAGTACATGGGCAGGATGTAGAATTTTACCTGTTCATTATTCAACATATGGAGAACAATCATTGAAAATATTTGCAGATGTTTCTTTAAAGAACAAAAATAACTGCTTTGTGAAAGACTTGTGTATCTCACACTTACTACCATGCAACTAAAACCCCTCAAACGCAGAATTAGAAAAGGCTCATCACGGGCAGAAAAATCCCCTAAAAGCAGCCAAAGCAAGCAAAACTTAACTTTCCCTTTCTTCCAGCACTTCTTCACCTGCACAGAGATAATTGGAAGGACCTGTCAGCCCTGAACTCACAAAGTATAAGATCCTTTTAAGGATGAGATTGTGGTACATCAGGATGACACAGTTAGATACAGATCTCTACAATGCACATGTTGTGAACCAACTAAAGAGAAGCTCAGCTGGTGCTTCTGATCAGATGGTGGGCTGTAATAACAACAGCGTGCTTCAAGTCCTGTAGTCAGCCAATACACATTCTATGGCGAATGTGTTGATATATCTGAGCACATTAGAAATGTGCTTCTTGCATACCGTGCATATTGTTCAAATGAACTTACTGAAGAATAAATCATTACATCAAACATCCCAGCACTTTTGTTGCCAGCATTAACCAGACGCCGATGAGAATTGAATTGATCAAAGAGGAACTGGCGGCTCTTACCCATTAAAGTTGCCAGGAGGCACAGGGAGGACATCTCCAGGTCAATGTGGTCCTGCAGCTCTCTGGGGGTGGGTCTGCTGGAAGACGCAGGATCCTCGCTCTTGACTGCGTGGGGGGCAGGAGCAGAGGCTGAAGCGGCGGGGGCCGCTGCTTCTTTCTCCTGGGGGTCCCTCACCGCCTCCAGAGTCACCCTGTCCCCGTGCTGCAGGGGCACGGGCTCGTCCTCGCTCCCCGCCCCGGGAGGCAGGAGCTCCTTGGGTGGGAAGCCGTAGCGGATGCACTGCTGGGCGGGGGGCACGGCAAACTCTCGGGCCAGGCTCTCCTGGAGCGCGGCGAAGGTGGTCTCCACCTGGAGCGTCAGCATGGCCTGCCGCCCGTCGGTGGTGGTCACGCGGATCTTCTTCTCCTTGCTGGACTGGGGGGAGGAGGGGGCTTTCGTGGGGGTGGCGGGGGCCGAGGAGGGCCCCTCGCGGACGGGGCCCGGGGAGGCGGGCCTGGCCTGAGCCCTCTGCTCCTGCTTCAGCTTGTCGGTCCTCTTCTTCTGCGCGGCCGAGGCGTTCTCGCTGATGCTCTGCTGCAGGCTGCGCTCCGCCTTGCTCATGTTCAGTTCCTCCTTGTGCAGGGTCTTCGCCTTCTGGCCGGTCAAGATGATTTTGGTCGGCGGCTGCACCTCCACCGCGGCCTGCCCGTCCGCCACCTCCCCCGGCCTCTGATGGGCGTGCGCCGCCCCGTCGACGGCGACCGGGTTGTACTCGTCCGGGTTCTTCTTGGCCGTGTGGTTCAAGATGGTGTTCACCACCTTCTGCACCAGGATCTCGCTCCCGAACTCCCCGGGGAAGTGCTTGGTGACCAGCTTCATGGCCACGTCGAACACGTTGCTGTTCAGGCTGGGCTCGGCCTCGTACTGGAACCAGTACACCGTCTCCCGCACCACCCTGCCGCCCCACTCCAGGGTGATGGGGAAGGCCTCCGGCAGATTGTCGTACTCCTTGCCTTCCCAGAAGTGCTTGAACCCGCAGCCGCACTTGCCGCCCCGGGAGCGGGCGCTGGTCCGGTCCCCGTCCAGGTACACGACGGAGCCGTCGCCCCGCACGCGGCGCACGGAGGTGCCGTGGCACCAGTTGCAGGCGCCCAGGTGGCTCAGCTTGTAGTCGGGCACCAGCGCGTCCCTGTCGGCGTCGTAGGAGCACACGACGTTGTTCAGGGGGAAGCTGTAGTTCTTGTCGGGCCGGAGCTGCCCGTGGGTGGACTTGGCCAGGGTGTAGAGCTTGCCGCCGGGGGCTAACCACTCGGGAGGCACGTGCAGCTCCGACAGGGCGTTGCAGATCAGGCAGCGGTGAAGGCGGTGCTCCGCGACGGCTCTCTTGGCGGCCTCCGTCACCTCCTCGGGCTGCACCCCGATCACGCCGGTCCTCCGATACACATACTGGTGGACGTCGGCCACCAGGGACGGGTGGATCCCGTGCTTGTCCATGAAGACCTCCTCCATGGCGCTCACCAGCCTCATCAGGTACTTGTCCTGCAGGCTCCGGTCTCCTCCAATCACGCAGCTCCCGTCCGACTCCAGGCGGATGTACTTCTTGATGAGCTCCTGCGGGACCCCCCAGGCCTTGGGCAGCAGCTTGGCCGGCAGCCTGGGCAGGGGGGCGTTCTTGATGCCGACGAGGGGGATGTAGTGGTTCCGGCCCGAGCTGCTCCAGGCGATGCAGATGGGCTTGTTGAAGTGGCCGTCCTTCCCCTTGCACTTCTCCTCCGGCACCAGTCCCGGCAGGAAGGTGGCGGAGTAATCCCCGGAGCTCCTCATCCCGCTCAGCGAGTCCAGCAGGACGATGGGGCGGTGCAGCACGTTGGCCAGCCCGAAGATGTGGATGTTGCGCAGCCCGAGCGGGACGCCCTCGGGCGGGACGAACAGGGGGTCGCACTCGTTGATTATGTCCTCCCACTCGGCCGCGTCGATGAAGTCCTGGAAGAGGGCCTTGTAGCGCTCCAGGTTCTGCTTGAAATGCTGCTTCAGGTTTTCCCGCAGAGCGTGCCAGAAGAGCTCCCGGCCCACCAGCGCCCGGGACACGGCGTGGACCAGGCAGTGCCCGTCCCCGTCCACGTGGACCGGAATCAGGCACTCCTTGTTCCGGTTGGCTTTCTTCAGCTCCTCCAGGGTGTCATGCAGGTACACGAGGCTACCGGAGCGATCCCTGCCGTAGCCCACGGTGCTCACGTGCTCCTGCTCAATGAGGAAAGCCCTGTCACCCAAAAGCGAGCAGTCAAACATCTCCCCCTGGTTCATGTCCCGCAACAACTTGGCTTTCCCGGTCTGCTTGTCCATGCCGAACCTCGTCAGGACTGGGGACAGCAACTTGCAGTGGTAGTTGGAGAGCCCCATCACTTTCACTAACTCGGTTCCCTTTTTGGGGGCGCCGGTAACCCCGAGAAGGGCATTTCTTAGCAAGTTGTGAAGCACGACGTCCGGGTCGGTCACTTCTTCCACTTTCAAGAGATTTTTCTGCTCATGACGCTGGCCGCACTCGGTGCACTCAATGCTGACCGAGCCGTAAGCAGGGAAGAAAAGCCTCGCCTGACATTTCGGGTCCGGGCAGGTACCAGACAAAATACGCTTGTCCTTTTTCTTCGACCCCTGCTGCAAAGACATTTTTTAGCGATAAAAGTGTTGTTGTGGGTAGTCTTTTAGTACATCGTTATAGATTACTCACCGGCGATTTATCAATACTGTTTTCACCTCCCGCAGCTGTTATTTTATGACTATTGCAGAACCGAAACAACACGGAAGCGGTTCTTTTTTTTCCACAGACTTTTTCGCCGTCCTGTTGCGGAGAGATACTGACCCGTCCGTGTCGCACTGGTTTTAGGGATTTGTAGTTTGGGATAGCGATGTCTTTGTTGTCGTTTAAAGCCCGATGTTGTTTACCGAACAACGTTACCCAGAATCCCCTGCCAGGAACCCGCAAACTTGCCACTTTACAGGGGTCGACGGGAACTGTAGTTTATTTTGCGACAAATGTCCTCACTTCCAATCGGAAGAGACGCAATGTGCACTACAAATACCAGGTTTCTTTAAATTAGCTCAGGGTTTTGTTTACTAACTTTGTTGCATCAGTGCTCCGGAAACGATCTATCTTGGAGTTGGTGCTATACTGTTTGAAGCAGAAGGGTGGAAGAAGAAATTCTCTTCTATTTTAGGCAAATTTTAAAATGTTTTTGGGCGTCATAGTAGAGTACGTCGAGAGCACGTGTTTTATAAACATTTTGTTCATAGCTTGTAAATTACATTCTGGTTGTAGATAGTGTTCACTGTAAATGATGTTAAGGTAGTATGTGTTTACGTTTGATGTGTTAAACATTTTCAGACATTTTCATTTTAAATTGTGCCTATCTTTGAGAATTATGCTATTTCACTGTTAGAGCGATAAAAGTTATTTTCTTTGGATCACAATTAATTTCAAAGTGAGCTGGTTCATTTCCGAATTATAGCTGATTTTGTTATTTACAGTTCTAATCATTTAAGTTCTAATTCTTTTTAAAAGCTCTTGTAATATGTCCATCGGTTGTATTATTATTGTATTTACCACTGTACCTCAGATTGATCACGGTTATGCTAGTAAAAGTGTTGCGTCTTAAAACACGTGCCAGTCGGTAAACACTGAACTCGAACGCATCAGATTTCTGAAAATACTGTTTTGGCGATGGTCTTCTGTCTCAGAACTGCTGCTGAAATGTAGCAACGTTCATTACCCAATTCCCATGCCCTTGGTATTCTGCTTAGATAGACCAGCCTCGTCGTCTTACAAAACGGCTTCTTTCCAATTTCATTCCACAAAATGGATATCTTGTCCTCGGAGTTTATCGGAATAAAATCCGGGGAAGGTTGCCCTGGTGGAGTCCTATCTGTGCGTTTGTTCAATAACAGGAAAGAGTGGAGCCGGAAATCAGAATATGAGCGAAGGTAAAAACAATATCACAGCTGTAGACAAACACGGGTGTAGCCATAAGCGCTGCTGGCTCATAGCCCGGGCGTTGGATTGATTCTACCCTGGGGAACCACCTGCGTAACATTTGCATGGTCTACCGATTGCCCCCGTGTGTTTGCACACTGTGCCCCGGGCTGGGCTGGTGTCACTCCAGGGTGTAACCTTGGCACCGCCTGTGTGCTGGGTTGTGTGCACTGGCCATTGAAAACGTATGGATGGAAATACGGGCGCCCAGACCGCTGACGGACAGTTCTGTGGAGTGTGGGTTTAACACGTGCTCGCTCCACACTAGTATCGCCGTCCTTCCTGATTTTGTCTCGATCTGGTATATTTCATAAACTCATCGCCAAAACATCTGGATTAGCAGTCGTGAAATAAAAAAAAAAGTTTAGATTAGGTTTAGATCAATTTCAAGACTGGACAAACACGTGGCAGGCGACATTAAATATAAAAAAAGTATAGAGGATTACATGCAAGTGTCCAAAACATAGATACTAAATGGTAAACGCCTGAAGAGCCTACTTATGGAAGGAAAAAAACTTAGGTGTTTATATTGATGAAAAAAACCTCTTGAGTCTTGAACGGAGAAGACTGCGGGGGGATCTAGTTCCGTGCAAATCCTCCACCAAGGCACCAAGGAAGGAAATGCCGTCGGAATCAACAGTGAAACAAACAACCAGGTGGCACAAGTGGAAACTGTTGTGGCCGTGCTTTTAAAACCGAGAACGGGAGGCGCTTCTTTGCACAAAGGGTGGTGGGAGCGTGGAACAAGCAACCCCAGCCATTCGGCTGAAGTCGATACCATGGCTTCTTTCCAAGAAGGAAGTCACCTGATCCTCAGGTCAATTAGCAGCTCGCTACCAAACGGGCTAACGGACCACATGCCCTCTTTTTAACGGTTCAGTTAAGCTATTTAGGCCTGAGAGAGAATGAAAATCAAGGGCTGCTCCTATGGGCTGGAGTTGCCTACTCCTTGGTTTAGCTTGACAGTGGTCACTGTTAGTTTTTGTTTCATTCTTTGGTGTGACTTTATGTGGGGTGAGCAGGCATTGTGCTATTAGAAATTAAGCGAGGGGAGGGGGCCAACCCCGTCCAAGTTTTTTTTTGTGATGATTGTTTTTAATGGAAATCAAGGTGGTTTTAAAAACCTCAACAACAACAAAAACAAACACGGTGACAACCTTCTGGCTCAGGGCTCCTCAGCTCATCAGCTCTTCCGATGCATTCTGCCGCAATACTTTGATGTAACCAGCTCCTGCTTTAACGGATCTAAGAATTCGGTAATTATAGATCTGGTTACAACAAAACTAAATAACTGAGTGAAATCGATGGATCCCCGAGTTGGTCTGATCTTTAGCTAAAGTAGTTCAAGTAGGAAGCCGTGTCAGCATGAATAGGCTGCAAAGAAACAAAATAAAGGTTTATTCCGAGATGAAAAGACACACAACGTTTCGGCTGTGGAGCCCTCTTCAGGTGTGACAGGCTCCACAGCCGAAACATTGTGTTTTTCTTTTAATCTCTTTTCAGCCTGGAGTAAACCTTTACTTGGTCTTTACCTGCCTTGGGAAACGAAGCAAGCCTGAGTCTGCCCATCACCGAGACTGCAGGTCTCCAGGGAGAAGGGTACTGCTGTAAGTGGTGTTGACCCGTAGGTGGCCCCCCGGACCAGAATGTCAGACACCAGCACGCTGAATGGCACCACCTTGACCTCTGGGAAGTACCCTCTCGATTCAGCTGGTGAAGCGGTTTTTCAGTTCTCCGGGAATAATGGATGTCGCGTATCTCTCAGGTGGGAGAAGCGTCTCAGTGCTGGTTGACGTCTCAGAAGTCAAGCGCCATGCTAATTTCAATTAAAATCTAAGCGATTCTGATTGTGTTCAGTTGTGAGGTAGGGCCATTAAAATAATTAGAATGTTTGCTGTTGGTTAATAGTTTTTTTATTCCCGATTTACGTGCAATTTCTATTTCTATAGAAGCGTCTCTGTTCACACTTCTGTATTCCTTACTGGACTCGGAACTGAAACACCTCGCCATTCGATTAAACGAATGTCACTACGAAAAAGCGACATTTCGGTAGGTATTTGTAGAGCACTGGTTTAATGGTTTAAAAGTGTCGACATGGTTTAGAACTCATTTAATTTCCATTCAGTCGATCTCTAACTCTTTCAGCGCAACGTCTGAACACAGAGCTGCGTGGTGAACTCTTGTTATTACTGAGGTTCACACGAATGCGAGTACCACAGACGTCCCCAATGCCATCAGTACTCTGAACAATAGCTCTAATAATGACAGTCGCATGGAGCGCCAGCTGGGAATGTGAGATCAGCAGCAGCCCCAGTTCCCCGCGTCCGTGATTGTGACGCTCTGTTACTTTGTTGCTCTGACGTCGCGGCAGTGCTGTCCAGAGACCGCCACCAGAGGGCGCCGTTTCCTTCCCGGTCTCCCCCTGCAGGCGGCTGGTCCCGTGACTAATTACAATGGAACTTTCAGAGTAAACTTTTTACCTTTTCCTGCAAGTCTGGTATTTGACAGGACGTTGCACGGCATGGATGTTGCGGGTTTTGGTGGGGCTCCTGCAAGTTCCGTGGGTGGTTGGAAAAGCGTAAATTACGCTGGGTTTTGACTTTCTTTACGGCGATTGTCCTATCTCCTACCACGCCAGTCGAGACATTTGTGGGTCTAGTCGGAAAAATACGAAGGGAAGGCTTTAAAACTGTTACGAAGTAAAGGGTAAGTTTAAATACACCGCTTCGTCATTGTGATGTTAATGGCCGTATAGATTTTCTTCAAAGGGGTCTTCTTTCCGACTGATTGAAATTAGACTCGGGGGTGTGCGGGGTGTTTTAAAGTAAAACTGCGGTGAGCAACGTAGTTAAATGAGATTTGAACTGAAATTGAAACTATACATTACACATGTGAAGTGTGGCCTGTTTGTATGAACTGTCCCTGTTAAGGTTGACGTGTTGTAGTCGGATGATGATGTTAGTGTAAACGTTTGTTTATATGTGCATAGAAACGTCTGACGATAACACACGGAACACGTTGGCTGTAAAAATGACTATTTTTACATATTTAATTTTGTAATGTAAATTAAGTACACATATTCAACACATGTGGAAACCGGCAACTCAGCTTCATAACTAAGTGCCTGCTATTCCTAAATGATGAACAGGACAACAACAAAAACTCTTATAAGTTGAATACGTCTTTACAATCATTACAAATGTAAAACAAATAGGTGAATTAAATAATTTAGTGATTCATAGGTTGAACTGTTCCTTCACTAACGAAGAAGCGAGTTTCTTTCCGCAAGATATAAAATGACCGAAGTATTTTTTTCACTGATTTTTAATGCTTTTTAAAATATTGATGTTGTAAAATCACTTTTGATTTGGTAAAACATTATTAATTTGAGAAAGTATTGTGTCGGTTACCTCATATTGAAAATACTAACCTCCTAGATATTGAAACTATTTTTTGCATGGCCAAGGTGTTGGTAAAAAATAAGAGCAACGTTGTTCAAATATAATTAAAACATCTGTGATGTTGTGTTCAGGTATTGCTTTTGCTGTAAAATGAGTCGCCTTGTGGTATGACTGTGCCGTGGGATGATCCCATACTCACAAGATAATATGCAAAATGCAAATTGACTTTTTGTTAGGGGTATCAGGTAACCAATAGTAGAAAGAGCCGGTGTCCAGTCTGGTATTTGAAGGTATCTGCTTTCCTGCAGACATAACAGTCCTGCCTGCACCTATTGCAAGTGTGGGGATAAACGAGTTGCCTTATCTGGGATATCCTCTTATTGACATGTTTGCTTCGGTTTTGCAAGCGGTTTCAGCGATGGTGCAATAGAAGTGTTCCCAGTCCCTGGGAAAATACGCTTTGGGTCACGCTGTAGGGTACTGTATTGCAAGATGATGAGATATCTGTGGCACTGTTAGCAGCAAAACTTCATTAAAGCAGGAGGACTGGGCGATCGGGAGACGCTGGAGTGGGGAGCTGTGCGGAGGGCGTTAGTTCCACGGGAGCAAGCAAAGGTCAGTTTCACTCTGGGAAGCGCGGAAAAAAATAAGAAACGCAGCGTTTCAGCTGCGGAGCCTTCTTCAGCCGCGCGTTACCCGAAGAGGGCTTCACTTGCAGATCTGCCGAGTCCTGAGTAGCTGAACTCTGACGGGAAAGCGAGGGTCGCGAACGAGAAGCTGTGTGGCCTCCCTTTGTGGGACTTTTTCGCCAGCTCTGCAGCACCTGAGTTCAAAGCAGCGATTTTCCATCATTTCTACCGGGACCAGAACCCTTTTTTTTCCTCCATTTTAGTGCATAACATATTTATTTAGGCGCAAACTTGAACGCAAAGACAGGCCTGTCTCTGCGCATGCAGGCAGCCCTAATTAAAGGGTATTTGTGCCTAATTATTGTTTCGAATCTTTCACTCTGGCAACATTCTCAAACCGTGTTTTCCACGCCTCTTAAACTGTTCTTGTTAACTGCCGTTTGCTACATTCCTATAAATATTGGTACTTTGCAGTTTTGTTTACCATTCAGAAATGATGGTGGGCTTTCCCAGCATTCAATCATTTTCTAAACGCCTTACCCAGTTCAGGGTCACAGGGGAGCTGGAGCCTATCCCAGCAAGCACCTAGGCAGGGTACACCCTGGATGGGACGCCAGTCCAGCATGGCGCACACACAGACACGCGCACTCAAATTAGGGCCACGTTTCCCAGATGCCAGTTAGCCTGCTAGCATGTCTTTGGATCTAGCTGGAGCACCCAGAGGGAAGTCACGCGTACGCTGGAAGAAACATGCAAGCTCCACACAGACAGCACCCTGGGAATTGATCCCTTTGCCAATGCAATCCTAACCACTGTGGCCTCGCACCACCCCGCAGTCCAAGTATTTACGTATGAATATGAGTGTTTATGTACTTGGGAGGTGGACGTATTCGTTTTTGTGCTGTGCGATATAGTGCATTTCAAAAGTATTTACCCCCTTCCATTGATGCCACACCATTATTTGAATGGTCTCTGTGTGCAGTCGTGATTCACATGATTTCAGTGTAAATGCTCTCTCTTTTAGGTCCCTCAGTTAGGTAGTGAATTTCAAGACAGTATTTGAACATGAAGGCCAGGGATCATTAAGAACAACTTAGGGATAAAGTTGTAGTATAGCACAGAATAGCCCTTTGAACATGGTAAAGTGGATCATTAGGAAGAGGAAAGTGTATTGAGCCACCCAGACACTCCCCAGATCAGGATGCCCGTCCATACTGAGCAGCGTGACTTTGAAAAGGCTAGACTTCAGTGGCTGTCAGGGGAGAAAATGTCAGTGAGTCAAAGCTGGTCTGAATGACAGAGTGGCAAACCCATCGGAAATCCCGCATGGAGATTGAAACGAAGCGTCTAGGCGATCCTGCAGACAAGTGGCAAGCGATTTGTGTTTAGACGAGACAAATTGGGGGTTAAATTACAATCCAAATTTAACCCCAAAAAACAAAACAAAACATAGACCAAAAATGCACAGCTTTATGTCTGACGCAAACTCGGCACAGAGCATCCCTCAGTCAGCATCCCTGGTATCAAGCGTGGTGGTGACTGCGGTTTGTTCTGGGGCTGTAGCTCATCAGCAGGGGCTGGGAAGCTTGTTAAGATTGAGGGGAAAATGGATGGAGCAAAGTGCAGCATGGGCAAATTTCAGAGGAAAACCGGCTTCAGTCTGCCAAACATCTAAACCTGGGATGAAAATTCACCTGTCAGCAAAACAGTGGCCCAAAGAACAATGCAGGACACTCACACAAACTGCTGTCCATCAACATTCCTCAGCCACCTTAACAGTGCTTGAGCTCGAGACATCTGCACACAGACTTGGAGCTGTAATTACTGCCAAAGATGCTTCAACCAGGTATTGGTTCAGGAGGGTGAAAACGTTTGCATTTACGTTTTTTTTTATTTTGCTTTGCAGGTCTTGTTGACAATTCGTTCAGTTCACTTCCTTCACTCATTAAGGTGATTTTGTTTTAGCAATCGTGTTCTGTAAAACATATTCAGTTTAAGAACAGCACATACATATTTTCTAATTCGTCACTGGAAGGGGGTGAATACTTTTGCATGGTAGTGTAAAAGAGCAGGAGGATGAGTTCTTCCTGTAGTTCTGTGTGTAGCACAGTATCTCGACATGCATAATAACACATTTCATAAAAGACT